CGACCAAGATACAGATTCTATTTATGGTTGTGAAGAGTCAAAATTTGGGGAGATATGTAAGTTTTCCAATTTTTCGCAGTTTAGCAAATATGAGTAAATGACACTCAGTTGTTTAACATCTGTCTTTTTGTTGATGGTCGGTTTAACAATTTCTTACATAACATTCTGAAAATCACATCATCTGAAGTGATTTGGCAACGTTAGCATACGCCCACAATTCGTTCCATCTTCCTACACAGACATTGACAACCTTCGGCCTTCTGTCAAAGGGTTCATCTCACTCATTATTCAATGAACACCATTTTGTGCAATCATCAAGTGGCTTCACGATGTAATGCTTTAATGTTTTTAAATAATTTTTAATCTGTTTTTAACTTGTTCTTGTCATATTTTATATAATTTTGACCATTGTACCATCTATCCAGCTCTCACCATGTTACTGGACGTTTCCCTCATCCTATACGTAAACAACAATTAGCAACATCCTCACATACTACTGTAAGTTGAGTCAATTTAAATTCATTTTACACTATTGTTGCTACTCTTATCATTGTAATTGCAGCTTCTGATGATGATGGCAAAGTCCATTGAAAGCTAGAGAGAATTAAAAAAGTATAAAGAGTCCTCTTTGCTTAAATTTTGTCGAAGTACCCAACAAAAGGCGGAAGCTTTAATTTTTCACCTAACTGGCCTAGACGACAATGACCACGTCTCAAGTTATATATATATATATATATCTTGAGACGTGGTCATTGTCGTCTAGACCAGTTAGGTGAAAGATAAAGCTTCCGCCTTACACATCTCTCCAAATTTTGACTTTTCACAACCATAAATGGAATCTTTTATTTGGTCTATTCCACCAAAAATTCCATCCAAATTTGAATAATCGTTTCCTCATAATAAAATAATAATGGTTCAATTCAATTGCCCATCTCATCAAAAATATAGTTACTTCAACCGCCTCTGTTGGTTGACAAGTTCTTACCTATCTGAAGTGAGTTGGCAACATCGCACACACTTTACAAAAGAATTTTCGTTCCATCCATCGACACTGACACTACCAGCCTTGCGCCATCTGTCAAAGGTTTAATGTAAGTTATGATCCTATGCCCACCATCTTGTGCAACATCAAGTGGTTCACGATGTAATTTTTAACTTTTGCTTTAAACATTTCTAATCCGTTTTAACTTGTTCCTGACATACAGTTGTGTGAAGTTTATATTAATTTTGAAGAATGTACCATGTATCCAGCTTTCACCAAGTTACTGGGTGTTTCCCTCAACCTAAACGTTAATAACATTTAGCAACATCCTCACATACTTCTGTAAGTTAATTTAAAATTCATTCTGCACAATAGTTGCTATTTTTCTCAATGTTATTGCAGCTCCTGATGAAGATTGCAAAGTACATTGAAAGCTAGAGATTAATAAAGTATAAAGAGTCCTCTTTGCTTAAATTTTGTCGAAGTACCCAACAAAAGGCAGAAGCTTTATTTTTCACCTATATATATATATATGAAGTTAGCTGCATTTTTTCGGATAGGACTTTTGTTGGATAATCCATAAAATTTTAATTGCCCATAAAAGCTGTAAGATTAGGATAATCTAATCCAGTATTAATCTACACCCTTTAGGAGATAAACGTGGTCAGTATATTCGATTTCCTGTAAAATATCTCTCAAACTAGGTCGAAAACCTTTTTTCTATAGATCGAATTTGCGCCCAGGTCGTATATTTTGCGCCCGGTGTCAAATGAAAAAATAGGTGTTTGTAGTTCAACTAGGTGATATACAGGGTGTTCGAAGAATAGATGGAGATATTTTAGAAGGTGATTCGTTGTTCAAAAAATATGAAAAAAAGTTTGTGTAGACATGAATCCTGAAATGCAGTTTTGAAGATACAGGGTGATAAATTTAAAAAAAATAATATTTAAAAAATATATACTCGATTCTGTTGAAATTTGACAATAATATTTGCTGTATTAAGAGGCTAATCAAGCTCTAAATAGATTAATATTATTAGGTCCAGTGGAGTCCCGGGGGGCACCTTAGCGAATATCATTGGAAAAAAAATGTGCGCCACTGCCTTTTTGTAACTTTAATATTATATTGTTTGATCAAGCATCTAAAAATAAAACTTCTTTGCTTCGTATCTCACTTTGTTTACGAAAAAGAAAAATTCGTCGCATGTCACAAATTGGTGTATTAATTTTTGCTAAAAAATGACAAGTGACTTGGAAAACGAAATAGATATCAAAAAAAATTCTAGGAAAGAGTGTATAAAAGCTATTTGCTTACGTACACTTAGAGGAACTTCTTCTAGCTGTACGGGCAATTCTTGTTGAATAAACTCTAAGTAAGATTCGCCGTTTAATCTTAAGGGTAAAAAGAAAACACCAATTGAATTGTCACCAGCAATACCCATCCACACAGTTAAAGAAAATTGTTAAGTATTTACGATTTTATTATTTAATTATTCTATTGTTTCTATGGGAGTAGCGTGAACCATCGTTTTGTGGTGCCCCATAAATAAAAATCTATTGGACTTAAGTCAGGGGAGCGAGGTGGAAAGTGAATTGGTCCACCTCTTCCAACCCAAGTTTCACCAAAGGTCTTATTGAGATGAGTTCTGACATGTATACTAAAATTAGGAGGAGCACCATCGTGCATGAAAGTTATTTGGTTACGTACACTTAGAGGAACTTCTTCTAGCTGTACGGGCAATTCTTGTTGAAGAAACTCTAAGTAAGATTCGCCGTTTAATCTTAAGGGTAAAAAAAACACCAATTGAATTGTCACCAGCAATACCCATCCACACAGTTAAAGAAAATTGTTCCTGGGGGCAACATTGTGCGTAAGCACGAGGATTATCGTCACTCCATACATGAGTGTTATGGTAATTAACAATACCATCCCGTCGAAATCCTGCTTCGTCCGTAAAAGTATACCTTTATTTAAATTCCTATTATTATTAACCTTTCAGCAATATCATTGGCAAAACTGTAAACGAGGTAGAAAATCTTTTGGTGATAATGCTTGCACACGTTGGACATGCCACACAGTGCTGTTGGAATGAATACCTCCTAATCTAGATGCTATAGTCCTGGTACTGTTACCAGGATTTTGTTCCACGGCACGTAAAACTGCCTCGTCAAACTTTTCTAGAAGAACGGTCGCGCAAATGTAAAATCTCCATGCAGAAATGATTTTTTCTTTTCTAAGACACTTGTTATTTTTTTATTAAAAATTAATAAACCAGTTTTGTCTAGTGGCATGCAATATAATATTGTTTTTATATTTTTCTCGAAAACGAAGTGAGATACAAGAAGCAAATAAGTTATGTTTTCAGATGCTGAATCAAACAATAAGTATTGAAGTTACAAAAAAGGCAGTGGCGCACTATATCTTGCCAATAATATTCACTAAAATGCCTTCCTTGACGCCACAGGACCTAATAATTTTAATCTATTCAGGGCTAAATTAGCCTCTTAATACAGCAAATAATATTGCCAAAAAATGTCAACAGAATCGAGTAAATATTTTTAAGGTAATAATAAAAAAAATTAAATTTATCATCCAGTATCTTGAAAACTGTTTTTCCGGACCCATGTTTATGGAAACTTTTTTTCATATTTTTAACAAGAAATCACCCTCTGACGTATCTCCGTCTATTTTTCGAACACCGTGTATGAAATAATTCTTGATTCAATAAGAGAATTGGTATCGTATATTGTTTCGCTAGTTTGGAGGGTATTTTAGAAGAAACCAACTATACAAAGTGTCCTCAAAGTTGGGACTTTACAGAGCGTATAAGGCAGGCAATAATTCCTGTTTTTTCCGTAACATGTACACCAAAGCTTTAAAATAACCGAGATATTAGGCTCCAAAAAGCAATAAATGAGCCAGTACGACCCTGCCACCCTCCCCTTCCACAATCCCCTTCTACGTCAAAACGTATGATGTTGACTATGTTAGTCAGTATCCAAACCAGGCGTCTAGGTTAATCTAGTTAACAATCCGCATTTGAAAAACCAAAATTGTCACATTCCTAAGCAATAAGTTTGTTATCGATTTGATATGAGCCTCTTCAAGGTCCTATTGATACTCCGCGAGAGTACTCGGAACTTCATCCTCACACTCGATGTTTTTTTCCATCAGAGCTGCATATTTTTGTTTATATCGTGCAAAAGCCGTTTGGTTGAACACAGCGGACGACCTAGACATCCCGAGACGTTGCAAATTTAGAAAGAGATAAGCAAACTGGTGTTTTTAAGTTGAACAGCAACAACTTTAATAAGCAAAGTTTACAAACAAAACATGTGACAGGTCAGTACATAAACTCCTTATCAAATGAATAGTATTTTTCTTTTTTAGATCTTCGGTGTTGTTTTACCGCAAATTTGCTTTGGTGTTGCAAACGTAGTTGACTCTGAAAAGAAAAGTCCCAACTTTCTGTACACGCTGTATTCATTAGATCCATTCTGCACTCTGGGTACAGATCGGGTCAGAATAATGGTATCTGTAACATCTATTATCTGATAAGATGTTGGAATCGGCGCTTAGGCAACCAGAGTGTTCGTAGCGACATCGGGAAATGTCGGCACGGCTCTGGATTAGTCGATTTGGAAATAGAATGAGAGAATTAAATTTAAACTTTAAACTTTAAATAGTAAAAAAGGTGTTTTCGTTACAGTATCGTCGCAAGTCGGTTCTGAATTCGATCCTATTCAATTTTTCAGCTTCAGAGTCTTGCGCGGATAATGCGTTTACATCCACTCTATGTTGGATTTGGATGGGTTTTGTGTTACTATAGCAAAGTCAAGTATTTATCGAGCGTGTGACACTTTGTATCTCGAGAGCTAAACGTAGTTGAACTTCATGAAAGCTTGCATTGCGGTGACTGTTCAGTGCCTCATGCCTACCAAAAAAAAAATACAAAAAGAAAAGATAAACTACAAAAACCGTGCCCAATTAATTGACATGTCTGGCATATCTATTGTACCTCATCTAATACCGGTAGTCCGGGGCAAAAAATTTCTCAAATCTCGTGTTTTGGTTCGCTTCAAGAAGCGCTCGTTACTTCGTTCGAATCTAGGGGACTTTCAAGGTTAGGAGGAGAAGCCTCTGGATTCTCTAATAACTTCATCAACTTATGTATGTTCTTCGAAGACAAGACTCTTGGACACTTCGCTAGAAGACCTGCTATTGTACCAGTTCTATTCGCATTTGCATGCTCTTGCAACAATTTGAAAGCTTTTGAAGGAATTATATCGTATCCACAACTTTCTCTGACATTATTCCAAGACTCGTAATATTGCTTGTACTCATCATAGTTGCTACCAAATTCTTGCGGAGTTTGAACAGCTGTCGAGTAACCCGTGCTGCTCTTCAGAGGTGACATAAAACTATCTGCATCGTCAATATTGTCTATGTCCATTTCTTCCTGTAGTATCTTTGTAGCTGCTGCGTATAGTTTGTCTTTAGGCAAATTTTTGAACATTTGGCCCTTTTTGTGTTTCAAGAGACTTTGGACTAGTTCGTTCACAAGCTTGTCGTTGACTGAAGTTGGGGAACATATACCGCTAGAAGGGTGACTAGAGTTAGGACTTTTGCTTAGAGGCAAAGTCAGTTGATCTCTTCTAGAACCTTCCTCTGTAGTTTCTCTATTTCTTACTGATAACTTGCTGAACTTATCAACAACTACTACTTCTTCACTTGTTTCGTTATCACATTCGTCTTGCAACAATTTGAAGAGTCTAGAATGTGTTGCAGCTCTCTGGTACTTAGTCAATTTCTTCAGTTCTGGAAATTCTTCTGTGTCAGATATGTGTCTGCTCATATCTGAAGTAACGCCTGAATCAAGGTCTTCTTCTTCACTATATTCTTCAAAAGATTTTACGCTACTTTTCGTAGATAATGTTCTATTGTTACTGCAGTATTGGTTGTTTACCTCTAAAACAGATAGTTTGTCTTTCACTGAATCTTTTATTTCTTCTTCAGTTGCTTTTGTTTGCCTTTGTTTGATGCTATCTCTCAGAGCTTCTATTCTTTCTTTAATTGTCATCGGGCTATTCTCATCTTTGTTTTTACTAAAAACTTCTTCGTTATCTGAAGATTCGTCTGAACCATCATTTGCGTTCATTGAATTAGTTTTCTCGTCATTATCTTCTTCAACACCCATATCTTGACTTAGATTCATTTTTACATCATCACGTATGTCTTGACTGCTTGTCTCTTCTTGGTTTATTATTTCTTCTCCATATGTCTGTATATTCAGCTTATTTTGAATTTCTTCGTCATTAACAACAGTGCTCATGCTGGAGCTATATTCTCTATAACCAGCAGAGCATCTCTCTGTTAACCTGAATCTGCTTCCAAAATCATCTTCATCTTTTTTTATTGTACTCCAAAAGTCTACTTCTTCTGATTCAGATTCAACTGTGTCTTGACAATTAACGTTATCTTTTTCTAATTCGACAGCTGGGGTATTCTGTGGTTCTAAATCGTTTTTCATATGATCTTGATCGAAACCTTCTTCTTCACTACTTCCTTGACATTCATTTATCTCTTTTTCTCCTTCATTATTTGCTTCTATCGCGTTTATATCACTCTCCATTTCTTCAGGTACATCGTTTACATTTCTCACAACATCTTCCTTTTTAGAAAATGTTTTCCAAAGACCGGATTCTTTCTGCATCCGTTCTAGCTTTTCTACAAAGCTTTCCATCTCAATCAATTTGCCAGGACTTTCAGTTTCTATTTGTTCTTCATCATCTTCAAATTCCTGATATATACTTCTCCTTTTTGACTCAACTGCAGTTTCTATACAAATGTCCTCAATTTCACTCCTTTTAGTTTCTTCTTTGCACTGCCTTCTCAGTACAATTCGCAGAGTAGTTTCACCTGTGCCAATTAAATCTTCATTTACATCTCTCGAGCAAGTTTCTGAACTATTTTCACTATTTTCTGTAATTTCATTGCTATCTTTTACACAAGCTCCTGTTTGCATTTCTTCTTCAGCTTGGACTATTTCCGTACTGCTGCTACAAATAATAGACCTTCTAGGAGGTATATCTTCTTCTGTACCCAATATTCCCCACCAGTCTTCACTCTCATCACTCTGTTTACCCTCATCTTTCGTAGAAGATACTTCATTAGTAGTACCATCTTCTTCAGTCGGATTCTTCATATCTTGATCTTCATCATTTCTATTGTGCACCTCATATCTAGTAGGAGCTTTTACTGTAAAAGAGGCATGGATCTCATTCCCGAAGCTTGTAACGATTCCATCTTCGACAAGAATCGTTTTAGAATCTTCTTCTTCCTCAGACACCTGAACGGTAATCTTCAAAGGCAATCTTGGGCTTGCTGCTTTTTTAGACACATCTTCATCATCACTCTTAATATCAGCGATAGTATTTGAATCGCTGAGCACACTGACAGTTCTCAACCTCGAATCTGTTCTTTCACTTTCTTCATAGATAACACTCAGTTGATGTGGGCCTTCGTCTTCTACAATAGAATCTTCAACATCGTCATCAGTAGTTTCAGAGCATTCTTCGACGTAGTATTCTTTTTCTGAAACGTCAGTATCTTCTTCGTCGTCGTTACTATCTTGTTTTTCGTAGTATACATTTATGTTTTGGACTGATTTAATTGATCTGAGTGTTCCAAATTGTTTTCTGTCATCTTCAGATTCTGTATCAGAATCTTCTGTTTCAAAGTCTGCATTATTTATAACTTGTTCTTTGACACATAGGGTTGGAGTTAATTTAGGTTTTGATGTAGATTGCTCCGTGTTGTTTTCATGTGTTGAAGATTGTTCAAACACGTCTTCAGCATGACTTTTGCCAAAAGGATATTGATATTGAGGTGGTGGGTGGTACATTGGAGGTACTCCATAGTACTGGTAGTGCCTATATGCATCATAATAACCATACAGAGACAAATCATGAGACGACATTTGTGTGTTTTCTTCGCCAGATTCTTCATATGGGCTAAGGGAGTGAGGATACGCATATGGAGGTGGAGGTACATAACCCCAAAGTGGTAAAGGAGGATGCAATCTGGGAGTTGGAGTCTGCCTTCCGGTTATAGGGGTCTGTCTCCCAGGTGTAGGGGTATTCCTCCCCGTTGAAGGAGTAGGGGTACTCTTTTCCGTTGAAGGAGTCTGCCTTCCAGGTGTAAGGGTACGTCTTTGGCTTCGAGAGAATCCAGAGGGTGGATCATGGTGACAGCATGCGTGGAAATAATCCTGCCAATAGGGTAGGGGTGACGGAGGGTAGGGATAATAATAGGGGTCGTAACCCCATTGCTCATATGAGGCATCTTCGTTTTGATCGTCGACACTGGCTATAACAGAATCAACAATATTAGTACGCTGAAGTTGACGAAACGTGGGTGGTAGAGTAAATAATTTCAACCTTCTTGTTGCCACTTGGCTGCTTATATTTCAGGTGTTTTACAAATTTATCTTTTATTAATTTCTCCCGTCTCCAGGCTATTTCATATCCTTTACTCTTATTACATACGATATACCGAACATGTTGCAATAGAAATTTTTGTTGCTCCAAAACCATCCACATTATACCCAAACTTGACTGGTCTTTAAAATTACTACATACACTTTCATAAAGGTTTAAATTACTTCCCTTATTTTCGCTAATTTCAGTGTACTCTATCGTCGACAATTTAGAATTTCGCCACAAAAATTATAAAAAAATGTATGCCACAAAAACCGCTCTTTGTATACCTGTAAATGATATTGTGGAAGTAACATCATTATATTACAGTTAGTATTGATAAGTTATAGACAAAAAATGTGCTGCATGATTGTGATTTCATGCTTCATGAATAATGTCTTGAGAATACTATTTTCCATTGTTGAGCTGAAAAATGGATGTGAGAACTCACCATTTTCTGGGGCAGTCATAGCTTGAAGGATTTTGAAGGATCTGCTGGGTATTGCGCTACCAGTGTACTTCTTAGGTTCTGGAACCGGGGCCTGTTGACTTGGATGGACGTAGGGGGTGGGCGAATCATCATCTGCAAGGAAAGAAAAAATAAAAAATGTTGACCACTTTCACAGTTTTTTTGGCTGTTTGACAACATCGTCTTAAAAGAATATAATTTTCAAAATTTTCGAGGTTAAGAAATAATTCAATTACACCTCATCTATTTAGTTTTCTCACCTTCTATTTTGATTGGAATTGTCCTTACTACAGGTCCTCGGCTGTTCTGACTCTGACCTCCTTGTGGCACTAGAAAATACAGAATTAAAACATTAGAGAAATATTGTAGCGCCCTCGTAAACTAGAACTTTGAGGTGTTGATGAAACGTCCTCGCAACATCGACGCTCAGGCAACCAGTCATGCAGCCAGAATACAGCTCAAGTTTATCTTTTTCGGGCTTTCGGTGTTTATTATACAATTATATTATTGGAATGTATAGGTACTGTTGCAAATTATTATTTTCCTACAATAAACCTCTACTACTACTTGTTGTCCAAAAAATCAGGTACTATATTGTAACGCCCTCGTAACTCAAATTTTGAGTAACAATGAGATACCATCGTAACATTCACGGTTAGGCAACCAGTTACCCACAGCACGTCGAGAACGTTCGTCATGCATCGAGACACGTCGATCGTCATCTATCAGCTTAAACGAAGAATCGAGTACTGCCAAGAAAACACGGGAGCGCTTCTGGACAGGTTGATTCAAAGGTAAAAACATACAGTGAGATTATGAGTTAGCAACGCGAAATGAGATAGTCGAGTCGACGCAGCCATACGGTCAACTCAAATTAAGGTACATACGATAGCCAAATTTTTAGATCGATAGATCGCCCCTTGGGGCGCAATAATGCTCGAAAAAATTGGAAGAAATACCTAGGCAACATTATTATATCCTTTATAACCGTGATTTTTTATAGATCTATGAAACGTGTAGGTTCGTGAAAAAAATGTTTGGTTAGTTGATGAACATTTCGCAAACCTAAAAATCCACTGTTCATCAGTGCTTTCGAATCCATTAAACACAGTCCTGAAAATACCCAGAAATCGGAAAAACTGCATTTTCACTGATTATCACTAATTTAAGATATCATAAGTTGGCTGACTTAACAACTGGACAAATAGGTATTTTTGATCATTTTTTTAGTTTCCAGTCAACATTTTGATTTGCCTCCCGGAAAATTACGAAAATACGAGAAACCGCACTTTCGCTAATTTTACCTTGAATCTTTGACGTTTCTGTTTGAGAAAGATATTCTTTTTCAGGTTCTTTTCGATTCCGTTATCAACATTTTTTGTGTTAGAAATCGGCAAAACTTCGGGACAACACGTTTCCATAATTTTGGGGGAAATTTTTATATGTACTTTCGCCTTTGTCATAAATTAGTGTTGTTACAAATTATTGTGAGAGTAAACTCTAAATAGTAAAAACAGCGTTTTCGTTACAATACTACAGATAACTAAGGCATTATAGTTCAAGATTCGAGGCATCCCACTACCAAAAGCTGTAAAAAGTAAACCATTACCGCCACCAAATAAATCAAAGCATATATACCGCTTTCTTCGAGTATTTTGAATATTTTTGATGGAATATGCCCTCCTCTGTATCTTGGATTCTCCTCGTCGTGAAAATGTAATTCTGGAAAAAGGTAGAACTGAAATAAGCTATGTTTGTTGTGGTTAGACGTGACGATTTTGTCTTAAAATAAAACCAACAATTTATGAGAGTTGTATTTCATAAATAATATTCTCTAAATTAGCCCTCTCAGCTGTTTCTACATTTTGCGACTATAATTTTCAGCAACCTCTTGTACAAATACGAGAAAGAATTGTATTAATTTATTTACCTGGATTTTGTCATTTTCTATGTAAGGTTTCAGATGTGACAAAAACAGTGTACGTCGAATATATTTAGAATCCTGCGTATAATGCACAAATTGAATAAAATACAGGGTGTTCCACTCAAAAAAGCAAGTTGATATCCACTTTCGGTAAAACCGGAAAAGCACCGTTTTTGAAACATTTTAGCCGGATTTCTCTCACTAGTTATTTTGAGTTCCAGCTTTTTTACAGTTGTTGATTTTTGTTATAATTTCCAAGGTTACGCCAGGTTCTTATATTATTTTTGAGGATTTTTTTTTAATAGTGAGAAGATAACCCTCAGTAGATTTAGCCGGCGGAACTACCCTTAAGTACTAACAGAGAAGGAAATACAATTAAAAGCAGCGATAAAAGCTATAGCTTTCAGGTTCCAGCTTTTTTACATTTGTTTTTGTTTTTACCTACATTTTCAACTCTTTCACCCCTTTCGAGGCAATTAAGGGTGGTTCCGACTTTATACACATTATTTTGTCATTCAAACAATTTATTTATGTGAAATAAACTCGGAAACTATGAGGAATTACAAATCCAGAAAAAGTATCGAGCTTCAGAGTTATTTCAACCCCTAAATAGTTGAATGTTTTTATAAAACAAAAAGTAACACGATAAACGGATACTTAGCGCCTCTTTTGATTTTTGATAACGATTAATTTGAGGCCTCGAAAACCTTTTTAGGTTTATTCCCAAGGTCGGAATCTAAAACAGACAATTAACTGATCTTTTTTTTTTGGGTTACTCAAATCTTAGCTGAGTTACCTCAACTTTTTGAGTAATTGGTCGGTGCAGTTCTACATGAGACTCAATGTCAATATCATTCTTTAAGCATTCGGTAATCTCGCTGGCATACCTTGGTTGAACTTGCTAGCAATATGGTTTCCATCGTTAATTTTCATCCTCCTCATTTGATCTGCCGGCTGTTGGAACTGTTGAGTATACCTTGGAGGATGTTCAGTAACAGGAGCATCCTCATCGTCATCATCTCCATCAGTATTCGTGATTTTTTGGATGATTTTGAAAGCGTGTGATTGCGTCGGGTTGTTTGCACCCCAGCTTTGTTGTCTGTTCAAAGACCTAAGAAATCCAAAAATCAATTGATTTAAAGATGAAAATTCGCGTTTATCATTGATTACCGTATTATTCAAGCTGGTGCCCAGACATATGCTGTATTTGGACATTCATATACAATTTTCATCATTACAGCCCATGTCGCCAACTTTCTTATGCAGTAATTGCCAAATCTCAATGAATGAATGAATGCATTATGAAATTAGAGACATACCGGTCACCTTGAGGAGCCGGCGCATAGGCCACTTAGACAGCCCTCATGGACCCCTACCTCAAGGCTCACCCTTCTAGCAAAGTTGAGTATAGCCTTGAGGCCCAGCTCCTCAACGTTCTGGGAGTCCAAAGTGATGGACCCCAGTATAGTCTGCCTGTAGTAGCTAAGAGCCCCACAGCGACACAGAATATGCTTTGAAGCAACGTTTTTAAACAGTGCGAAGCGTGCACGGTGAGTGCTGGTGTAATGTGATGTCATCATTCAGTCACACTCCAACCAGACGATTCTCTAAATAAGAAACTTCAGGGTAGCGTAACTTTGACATTTTTTAACGCATTCAAAAAAAAAATCACTGTACTTCGTTTTATGTGTTTCAAAAAATAGGAATTTTCCTCAATATTCCTAGAATTTCACAACGACGTAGAAAGAAAAACCTGTAGCAAAGGTACGAGAGATGGCAACGCTGCCCCGAAAAAACGATGGTCATCACGTATATAGCTGTAATCTTGTGTATCTTCTGGAGGAATATGTTCACCGATGGTTTTATGCTGGTGAGCTAGGCCCATAATTTCAATTTCTCCGAGGACAATAAACGTACCTTTCTCCGGGGGTATTTGGTGTCCTTGCTCCATTGGACCCTTCAACTTTGACAGGTATCACTCGACCACCTGGATGTTGCAAAATAACTGGCTGAGTTACATACACAGCATTTGTTTTTCTCTCTTCTTGATCATCCTGCAAAGGTACAAGACATGTGACATTTAATATTAATATAAGGACACCACATCCGTCAAGATCACAGAGCCGTAGGGATCCTAGGTACTTTCTTAAGTAAAATCCGTTGTTACAAAGGAATGAAACCTGACACAATTCGATTTTTACTTTACAATGTGAATGATTAATCAGGAACGTGAGCTCAACCTGCTTCTTCTTACCTGGCATTGCATTCCAGGCCTGGTACGTATCTCGATGCGTACGCCAACAGGCTGTTGATTGTTGAAAGGCTGTTGATTAAACTGTTGCTGGTTGTACGGCTGACTCGTATGCATCTGTTTCGGTTGACTGTATTGAGGTTGAGGTTCCTGGGCAGGTCTGCTTGCAGGCCACCTCTGTTGAGCCGGCTGTTGCGGAGACTGTTGGGTCTGTTGCGCCTGGGGCGATGGAGTCTAAAATCGAAAAGAAATTAGCACCTGCGGGTCCATAGTGTCAAACTACTTCAGCGAAAGATGGAAATGAGAAGCTTTTAATGTCGACGGGATCGATATAGGTCAGTGTTTTCCAAAGTGAGCGATAACGCCACCCTGTGGGCTCTGAGGTAAAGCCTAAAGGCACTTTCATATGTATAACAACGATGTAAGCTTCAACTCACAAAAATGATAAGACCCATAGGATACTCTAGGCATATTTATGAATTTACAGCCACACGAGGTCGTCATGCTGTTTATCCTCTTTGGCACCGATGTCGTAATGGTCAGTGGGAATTTTGATTTGATTGCGCACTTCGTCATGAATCTCGGTCATGAATCTCTTCAGGGTGGATACGTAGTCGCAACCTGCCACATCCGTTCCGTGTCGACTTCCAAGCTACAGGCCACAAGGTAGCCGGAGCTCATACCCGAACAACATTTTCGCCTGAGTCTGACCCGTTGACTCGTCGACTGCATCCCGATACGCCATAAGGAACGTGAGAAGGTACCTGTCTCAATTATGCTATTGGTTGGACACCACCTTTAACAGGTACTTTCCAATGATCTGGTTCATCTTTCCCACCAGCCCGTACGATTGAGGGTGCAGCGCTATAGTTCAGGCCTTCCTGATGCGCAGCTTCTCGCAAGCTCCTTTGAAAAGCTCGCTCTCGAATTTCCCGCCTTGGTCGGATTGCAGTTCTAGTGGGAATCCAGATCGTCACATGTCTTTGTCAGACAGAACGCCTGCAAGAGTGGCAGCTTCCTCATTGGGGATAGCATACGACCCGCAGAGGTGATCACCTTTAAATGTCGCTTCAAACGCAAGTTTAATGTGGAGTATCCGACAAGGGCGAAGTGTGATTCCGGAAGCCGGAAGGTCTCCGAAGGAAGTGGACCGGCCTGATATACACGGATGGCTCGGATACTGAAGAGGGATTAGACGCCAGGAACTATTCTCTCACTGCTTCTCGGCGGATACACCACTATTTTCTAATCTATGCGTTTCTGGCTTGCGTATACCACATTTTGGAGGGGGGAGGGCCTAAGAGCAGAATAACAATCTTCTCTGACAGCCAGGCTGCGGTGAATGCACCAAATGCCTGCAAGAATTCCTTTGAGACATGTCATGTATTGCAATGCACGGAGGCTCTCGATAGTCTAGGCATCTGGTATCGTTAGTGTGGGTTCCGAGGCTCACCGGGATAAAGAATAATGATATGGCGGACGCTCTCGTGAAAGCAGGATGAGCGGGCAAGCTTGTTGGTTCTGAGCCAGCCCAATGAGTGCTAGCGCAAAGTGTCTGGAGGATAGTGGAGGCGTGGATTGCTAGAATACTCTCTCTGAAATGGAGAAGCATCACTAGACATCTCAGGCAGGTACGGGAGCTCATCGTAGGGCCTAGGGTTGAGGATGGATGCTTTTGATTATCTTTGGATAGAGACAACCTCAGGTTCTTGATGGGACTGTTCTTGGCTATAATACGATGAGGCGTTACCTGCATGTGATGGGGTGGTCGAGGATCCCACGTGTGAGCGCTGCGCGGAAGAAGAAGAGTCTTCGGCGCATCTTTTGTGTCGCTGTGAGGCTCTGAGCTACTATACAACTATATTGGGGCCCAACACTTTGGATCCCTAGAATGTTAAGGAGCTTGGACTCAGAGCTATACTCAACTTGGTAGAAGAGCAGTGCCTGAGGATTAGCAAATGCAGTGGTGCATAAGGGACCGTTTAGATGGTCTATGTGCCGGCTCCTCATAGTGGCCCGCATCCCTTTAATTTCTTGATTCATTAATTGACACCTCGACCCATTTAATGAACAGTTCACCCAGTAAAACCGCTCTTGATCATTTCCAAGGGTCTGCTTGACGCCCATTTGTCAACCTAACGTTCCATCGTCAAGCTGACGAAGCACTTCGGGCACCCGGTTCCTTGGCACGTGCCGAGACCAATTTTGGTCTTCCATGGATCGTTTTAGGATTCCATCTTCACCTTATGCGCAACATTTCATCATAATCCGAGTTAGGACCGGCCAAGAATAAGGAAACAGACACCGACAGAAATGAGTGACATGTTTCCCGTGATGTAGATGTCATAATACATAGAAAAACATAATCACTCAGTGACATGGGAAGTGAAATACAAACAAGCAATATCTTCAACGTCAATTGTACCTGTTGGCTTTCGCCATTATCCCTCTTAGCCCAGGGCGGCAAATCTTCTTGCATCTTTTTCGTCTGCCATGGCCTTGGTGCCTCCCTGAGAGGCGGAGTCTGCATATTAGGGCTGTCGAGATTGCGTTCCGGCGGAGTAGGCGGTGACACAACCTTCTTCTGATTGGCCGGCGCCACGTGCAGCGGCCCGATGTGGGCGGTGCTTGTTTTAGGCTCCGCCTGCGCCGGAGATTGGCGTTCGATCAATGGGATTTCGGGTTTTTGGAAACGGAGCGGTTGAGGCTGTTTCTGAGGTGGAGCAGGGGAAATTTGTTGCGGAGGAGATTGAGGTGGTTGACGCTGTTGTTGATACTGAGGAGGCGAAGGAGGTTGATATTGTTGAGGTTGAGGGGAAGGTTGAGGTTGGCGAGGTTGTTGATAGTGTGGGGGTGAAGGAGGTTGATATTGATGTTGTGGAGGAGATGGTGGTTGGTACTGCTGTTGTGGTGGTTGGTATTGGTGCTGCGGCGGTGATGGAGGGCCTTGTTGATACCTAGAAACCAAATAAGCCAAAAAATAATGTGACAACCTCGTATAAGCAATGTCTTGTTGTAGGCGATACTGGAAATTGAGTACCGCTAAATAACTTCTGAACAGTAGGTACATGTTCTTCAAAAAAAGGGTAATATGGAACAATAATCATAATAATAAAATAGGTCTTTTTAGGGCGAAGTTTAGCCATAAGCTGTTCTTCCAGTTAACCCTTTTACAACAGTGACTTCTATAATTTACATATACAATCTGTCTGGTGGTAACTTGGAGTCTAACAATTACGATAAAAGGCAAGTATTAGCAAGCATACAATTAAAACTTAAGACATAAACTGGATAGAATAAAGAATGTCCATAATAGATATAAAATCCATGAATTAGCTACTAAGGATAGAGTACAGATGTAAACAATGAGAATGCGAAATAAAAGAGTAGGTATTCATCTATTGCCGGCATTTTCGTGGCTCAGTTTATACATTTCTTCTGGTTTAAATTTATTAACTGACAATGACTTTAGCTATTTGGCAGATAGTTATATAACTTATGATATTATATGTAAAAATATTCCGAAAGATAGTAATTCTGCGGTGTGGCATTGTTAAGGTGCCATTATATCGTATATTTCGGGAATGTAAATATGTGCACGCAATCAGTTTTTCTCTCAAAAATAGGGACTAAGATCTTTCTAAAAGCTTGTGAGTAGGTATATGTGACCATGTTGAAAGCATATAATTGCCTCTTATTCAGCCATCCTGGTTCTGAGAAACCAGCAATAATCTAGTTGAACTTTCTGAGATTCTGAGTCAATCTACAGCAGTTTTTTTGGATTTTCTGGAGTCCACGAAAGGAAAATATCTAAGCTCGCAAAATGAATATCAGTATATCACCAAAGACTCTTGACTTCTTGACTGCTTAGGTTATTTACATTGTGAGTTTCTCATCAAAAAGTACGCTTAACAACTTTCTTGCTGATTAAGTCCTGTTCATTTAAAGATGTTGTCAAATTTTGTTTCGCTCTTACTTTTTGGGGAAAAAAACAATTGATTTAGTAGGATCAAGCTGAAAATTATGTATATAATTATCTATGGATTTTAAATCCCCCCATAAAGTCTCTATCAATAAATCCTCACCTCTGTTGAGGCTGTTCAAACTGCGGAGAACCATGCTGCACAGCAGCAGGTGGAGACTTAGGGGCGATGCCCCTCTGAGCCTCCTCGAACATCTGATCTACAACGCTCTTCCTAGGCTGGGGACCTCCAGTTTTCCTCAATAGCTTCATAGGTTCATCGGGGATGATTTTGGTCATGTCAGGTCGCTCCAGTACTTGGTTGTCGAATGTTTTGACCTTTTGGGTGGGGAGAGGGCATGTTGGTGGTGGTGGTGGCGGTGGTATGTTCATTGGTGGAGGTGGTGGTACTGGTCCTCCTCTGCCTTTCATTGGCGCCGGCGGCGGGGGGCCGGAAGGAAACACTTGCACCTAGAAATAAAATACATCGCGTAATGATACTCACATACTAACCATGTAATTTCAGAGGGTCTGAATTTTTTTAAATTGTAGAAACAGAGGGAAGTGAGAATTTGAAAAAATTCGGAGAGCAATACTTTTCAAATTATAGACAGGCCGAGGATCTGCGGATAGACCGACACACAGAAAGACCAACATAAATAAGTGACATGGTTTTTCGTGATCTAGATGTCATAAAATAGCAAAAAGACATCTCATTTTTGAAATTTTTCATGATTACCAGTAAAAGGGCAAAAACTGTGTCAATCCGGAACGTGAGCTCTACCATGCTTATAATGCGTTCCTTGGGTCGCCGAATCCGGTGACCATTTGGTGCGGAAGTGCACGGTTTTTGAGATACTGGCTAAAATTCTACTGAAAAAACGGCCAATAAAAAATTTCCAAAAATTGTGCCATATCTTTGATCTGGATAGAAGCTTGTGTTTGTAGGTAAATCAAGTGCGAATATTTCGAATTCGATGTCAGTTTAGTGCCAGGATTCACGGGTGGCCTCTGGTGACTAGTTTTTTACCAACTTTTCAGCTCTAACTCGGCACCATGACAATTCAAGGTTTTTTCATATATATTCAAATTTACCGTCCCAAATTACCCAAATAGACGAAGCATCCTTAGCGTGTAGCTACTGATAAAGAAAATTGATTTTTATCACAATAAAGCCGCAAATGTCCCATAATTTGAAAGTGACTTTGGATTTAATTTTTGGTAACCATGTATAGCGGTATTATGTTACGAAAAATGGCGTCAAGTAGATTGACTTTATACTTCTACCTTCGAAACAACTAATACTACAATTTTCCATGAAATCCAATGTCGTCAAAAAGAAACACTATTTGTGCTTTTCATGGGAAAAACTGCCTCAGATTGCAGCAATGAGCTTTGCTGTACACGGTAGCCTAATTTCTTTGAAGCTGTGGTGCAAAACTCTTTATCAATTGCCAATCAGCGAAATGCAGCTTTTTCCAAGTATGAAATTTTCCGGGTAGCAAATTTCAATAGAACCTTAAAGAATGCTCTAGAATATATGTTGTATTCAAGGAGTTAGCCAAGTTATGATATCCTACTTTAAACATGTCTAAAATTGGAAAAATCGATGAAAATGTGGTTTTCCTGTTTAAATACATATGAAGGTTTAATTGTTGCGTTAGCCAACTAACGGTATCCTACGTCTGAAATGTCGAGAATTGAGCAAAATGTAATTCTTTAGATTGTTGGCGATTTTTCGGTGAAAAATTCCTAACTTCGTGGATCTGAAAAAAAAAACACAAGAAAGCACTGATAGAAAGTGGGCCATTAAGATTGCGAACTGTTCATTGCCAAAACAAAAATCTGAAAAAAGAATCAAAAAAGTCTTTTTTTAAACCTACAAGTTCAACAAATCTATAAACTTATGTAAACTGTAACAATGTAGTTTTGGAAATTTCGTCAATTTTTTTTGAGCATCATTGCGCCCGTAGAAAATGTTTTACAAATAAAGGTTTTTGTGTCTAGGGGCTCCTATCGATCTGAAAAATTGGCAATGGTGATTTCTCCCAATATACCTTAAGCTGGTTTGAACCAGATTTGGGTACCCGTGGGGGCAATTTTTATAAGAAGTTTCGCCTATAGGCTTTTCTGTTTTGTGAAAAGTTTGGCAACTTTGGAAATCGACAGCATGTTTAAAATATAGACAATCTTAACTTACCTGTGGTTGAGGTCGCATCGCAGCCAACGTGGAAGGCGGCAAGTTACTATAATCCTGAGGCTGGCTGGGCGCCGCAGGTCTGGAGACATCTCCGACCCCTCCCAGGTTAGCGTTCCGTTCTATCCTCCTGGCCATTCGCGGCGACCTCACTTCTGAGAGGTCAATACCGCCAGGTGTGTATGTGAACGGTTTCTTGTCCTTGGTCATCATCGCGTTCTGAACGCAGGTCGGTGGGTCCATTTCAGTTTCTGGAAGAGGTTAATTATACAAATACAAGCACGATTATAAGAATAAATATAAAACACATACAAAATAATATTTGAAATACAGAAAAAAATCAATATAGTAAAAGTGGTTTTAAATGATGCTAAAAACGCAATCCGTCGGAAGATGCACTTGTGCAAGGGTGTAACTGATGACACGTGGCAGAATCGCATAAGGCATGTAGTCAATGAACAGGAACAGTTCTGGCAATTAGACCATTCCATAGAGAGGATAATCGAACCAGTGATAATTAACTCAAATGACGGCAATGATAGCGACAGCAGTGACAGTTCCTGCTCGAATAATGGTCAGTCATAAAACCTCAGCCCAGCTGACTATCATTTGTTCAATTGAATATTTTTCAGTTTCAGAACCTTTTATTTTTGTGATTTGTATTTTTAAGTTTTAGAGATTAATCATATTTATTTTTCATTTTGTTGAAACTGTGGCAGACGGGTTGAGGGAGGAACGGAGGAACTCTATATGCAGCCACCTGCCCTTGGTGCGTCCAGGGTAGCCCTAACAAGAGCTAGAAGGAGCTACATTAACAAATTAATCCATTTTTTGTTATATTAATCAGTTACAGTTCGCTGCTCTAGCTATTTCTGTTTAAAGATGACAAGTGTTGCAAAATGTTGAGGTAAATTCTACTTTCTAACCCTTTCCGAAGTGAAAATCGTCGCGCCTCTGGTGCGGTCTCTCTTCAAAGGAGTCTGCAATATTTCTCGCACTCCATTGCTGTCAACAGTTTTGGTAATGCCATAGTAGGTAGTATTTTTCTGGTTTCGCAAGCCAAATTGATTTAAAAAGAACAAATTATTCCCTTCAAAATAAAATACTATTTGTACCACAAGGCATTTTTCAAAAATCTTACTAAAAACGGGTAGCAGTGATATCCGCCGGTAATTAGTTACATCTTCTGTGTCGCCATCCGTGTGAATAGGAATAACAACTGCTCGTTTCAAGCAGTCCGGAAATATATTATTGCCAATGCTCAGGTTTATGAACTTTGTCAAGGGTTCTACAATCAAGTGTATATTTTTTTACCAATGTAGTGTTCATATCATAAGTATTTTTCAAATTTAATTTTTAAATGAATTTATAGAATCTCTGACTGGATTAAATGATACTTTAAGGTCCGTATCGTCAGTCGTTCCTACATTGGCCTCCTTGATTGCCATAGTTTTCTGCTTCTCCGTGTCAGAACTCTACTTTGAGGTTATGTCACAAGCATCTATTTGCATCAAATTGTGCTTGCTTTTGGGTTATATCATGTTTTATCAGCCTGAAATTTCCTACAATTTCAAAAGAAAACATATCTTCACAATAGGAGAGCGCTGACGCTGAGACGGGACAAGTGTAATCTAGAAATTTTTGAAGGAGAGAAAGGAGGATGACAATCAAGGAGGCCATAATCGCGCCCTACAATTGTAGGGACGACTGACGATACGGGCCTTACGAAGTGAAATAGCTGAGATGTCGAGGTTCTTATAGGTATTCAATTCAGGATGCGAATCACATTGAAAGGAGTTTCTTAGAAGTTCTTCAGTTTTTTATGACACGGCATATGGTTTTAATCACAGGTCGCTTTTTACTTTCCACCCAACAGGCGAGGTAGTGTGATCGCAAAAAATTTCGAAAAAGAAGTAGTCACTTGCTGATCTGGGAAGAACTTTAAAAATCCATTTATGCAGCTATATTTAGGTCAATGAAGGGCATTTATACCAAACATGTGCCTAACATATTATGCTTGAAGTGCTATTCTTTCCGAAACAAATCTAAGATATGCCTTTTATTAAGCTGGATGTCGATACGATTTTGAAGTTCTTCAAGGATAAAAGACTGTTGCGTCAGTGGTGTATCACCATCAACGCAATACTTTGATTAAACATTCTGATGATTCAGTACGTGTAGTGTATAATGTATATACAGAGAAATCCATATATCTACCACTGACGTCGTAATGTGTACGAGAGTACCACGTTGCCTAACAACTCGAGTGATTTCATATTTCTTAACAAGGAATCAGGCACTAAAATATCTCCGTGTATTTTTCGAAAACTGTATATTTTAACATGTTTTTGAACAATCAGAAAAATCACTGGGAAAACTTCATACCACATATAATATGATCACAATCAATGAAAACAACAAATTTAGATTTTTGTTGGAGTTACAACGACAATACCGAATATCAATTTAATGTTTTCCAAGTTTTTTGATATCTTAGATTTTTCGGAGCACAGTTATAATATCCATCATTCAGTGAAATGCGTCATGGAAAATAACGTTCTTGCTATTTCCGTAGGTGGGGTCTCATTTCGGCAGAAACACCAGGGAGGGAGAACGTTGCCAGATGGACGGTACTGTACTCTATCGGTGGGGCAGGGAAATAATGTCTATGGACTAATTGCATGGGCCTGTTCGACTGACTTGATTTGTTTAATTTCTCCGGTGTACATGTTCGTAGATAATTTTTTTCTCAGGGGATCCTCCTTATGCTGAACTTAATCTTTTATGAACTGATGACAGCGTTGCGTGTCAAGTGCTGAGTCAACTTACTTGATGCTACAGTGACTACTAGACTAAGCATAAGAACAAAATAAGTTCCAACTAGTAGCATTGCGTCTGTCGAGGAATGTCGCGACACCATCTGAGATGCAGTTTGTATTGTGTGGCCATTTTTTTTTCTATTTGAAATGAGACGCTCGTAAATAATTCCAGTGCAGTCTACACTTGAGCAAGGAGACCGATGCTTGCATTCATGCAAAAATGTTGCGCGTTGAATAGCTTCATGAATATACAATAAAATTATATACTCTCATTTTGCCAATGGTGGAGTTATTCATAAATTAAGTGACAGCACCAACTGTATTTTTTGAAAAACTTAAAAAAGTATAAAAAGATAAATATCTCCCCTAATGCGTTTTAACCTTATCGCCATTTTGCTATGTGAATAAGTTTGCCTATGTTCACTGATATATAATGTATGTATGTAATTTTAGTCATGACCTATAGGTACAAACCCTGTCCAATTTTGTGCATCCAGAACTCTTCATATCGAGATTATGGAACAATCTACCTGAGAAAATTTTTCCCAGTTATACTAAAGGGCCGATTTCACCAACATTAATATTATAGACCAATGGGAAAATACCTTATCGAAATGCAATTTGACAGAAGCTGTCAAAGGTCTCTGAATATTAGTGATTTCTATTGAAATATTGAATAAAATCGTGAAAATTCGACTGTATTATAAACAAGACCACTTTTTCATTCCAACATGATGCTTTTGTACAGAAAAAACAGGACAACTTTCATGTATTTTGATATATGTTATAGGTTTACATTTAACAATCCGTTATCCCCTTCAGCGAATGGGAATGCGGCAAATAATAGGTCGATTTTCTAGCTGTTAAATTTGGCAGCAGATATGGACGTTTGTTAATGCATAGCACTCTCGAATTTACCAACTTCAATATACTGAAAGTTATCATTACATACCTGTTGAATAGTGTGGATTTGTCTGTATTTTGCAAGAAAATAGAATATAAAATACATTCCATCCAATTCCTCATCTTCCTTTACGACATAATAGTAATCATTTATTAATTTATGAGTTAATGAATTTCTTCAAAGCAATAAAAACATTATGTCCTCTCTATCCTAAAACACAGATAATATGTGTAAGACGTGTCAATCCCTACATCTCCCTGATGCATATTGGACATAATCAAAAAATTATGAAAAATGTTTCACAAATAATGTCTTTTAAGTCCAATAATCAAAAAAACTAATAATGTTTATTGTTTGACTTTTTGACTGGCGAGAATATCTATCTGTCACTCGCAGGGTTGCCAAGTCTAACGACGATCACGTCCCGTGGTGGAGGGTGCATAATGAATCTTTTACATTTGCAGGTTTTGAATTTTTTTCGTGAAAATTTACTAGGTATCATGATTATAAGCATCTTTGGTAGATTGTTCGATCGGGAATGGGAAAGATCTCCTATTTATGAAAATATTTTTGGTATCATCTAACTGTTGCAATCAGTGCACAAACACTGTGACATATGATTTATAGCATAACCCGCTGCCCTATCAATACAAATTTAACATACGGGTCGCCTAGCCGTGGGGATGCAGTGGTCGGGATGAATATCACGGCAGCAACTGATGATTTGGGCATGTCTGGTAACTACGTATGACGTGAAACTCGCTAACTTCACAAATTTGAAGATTTTGTACAATTTCTTTAAAAATGATGAAAGATATGTCTGATTTGGCAGGGTAATGTCGCAGCCAAATTGCAGTCACTCTTTCTGACACAGTCCGGATCGAAAGATGACGATACTTGTGAAATGTATTGATACCTCTAAATATAGGATCGTATCGAACATCCCTACTGTCAAGATGTATAACCCAAGGTACCGACGAAGCTATTTTGCGGTGTCATGGAAATAATTTTAAATTTTCATTTGCATTAAGTGTTGTGCAATTATTTTGTGAAAAATGTCACGAATAGTCTTATAAAGCATAGTAGAGTATATTTCAACAGTTGGCGGAACTTACTCTACTGGGATCAGGAGGGTGAAACGGGATATTAATGCACAATCTGGCAACCCTGTCGCACCCTCACAAAATGGCCGCTGACAACCACACAAGTCACCGTGTTGTCATTGAATAGCATGGAATTAAACCTTCAGAGTATACGTTTTGTGACTGGTACCAAGAGTTGACAGATCCCACACATGTGTCACTACTTGAAATGCAATAATCAGCTGTATTCAAATAATATCTAATATAAATATAACCTAGAATGTGTACTCGTGAAAAACGAAAAATATGGCAAATTTGTAGTTTTTTTGCAGGTTTTAAGTTTGCTGGTAGCTTTAAGGCATATATTTGGGAATTTCTTAATCGCTGTGAATATAGTGTGGATGTTTGTTCAGTTCCTGAACAACGAAAAATATTCAACTTTATGGATGTATGGATATCAAAAAACCTGAATGGTTTTGTAGGAATATCAATCTAAGGTGCCATAATGGTTCTGATGAACGGCAAGTAAATGGATGAATGTTTGGAAACGAGCAATATCTTTTGGTAGGGCCTGTCATCAAGTAGGTGCTTAATGGCCAGCTGCAAGAGGTTTATAGGAAAAAACAGCCAGTGTCGCATATCAATTGAAGAAAATAATATAAACATGAATAAAACATCAACAATAGTAATTAAAACATGAATTTTATTCAAAAATCCAACCTTTCTTTAAATTTTGACTGAATTATATGTAATTTCTTAATATTCAATAAGCTGATGTATCAATGACAAGCTGTCATCTCATACTTTGACAGTATTTTGTTTTCAACATTTCATAGCTATTGGTTGCTAAAATATGTTGATTGGAACTTGAAGCTCATTCGTTGTATTTGACGGTCTGTTACCCTATAGGTGGAGAATAACGGACTGTTGTTGGTGAAATTTAATGCCTACAAGTTTCTTTCCGAAAATGATAAATATCATATATCCAAAATACCAAGTCTGAACAATTTTTATTTATTGTTGTTTTTGGCCTTTTTCTTCACCGCCACTGAGCCGATTTTCATAAACTACAGCGCCGTTGATGTAGTACGTAGTAACATTGTGAAAACATTTATCGAAATCGGCACGGGTATTATGTAAAAAACCTATAAAACGTCAAAAAACCTATAAAATGTCATCTTGCAGACTAGGTAGTTTTTAGGGCGCAAACAGTCATTCTACGTTTGCTCATTTTACTATAACTATCTAAAACTGTAATGACTCATCGATGTTCACGTGAACATCACTTAACTACCAGTAGTCGGCTGTTCATAGGCGGGGTATGAATGTTTAACATGGGTGAACTAGATTTGTCACATGCTTAATAAAGAGTGGTTTGAAACATATTGTAAGTCAAAAATTTGGGAATTACCTTTATTCATCGTTCGTTCCACTTACATCTGACAGTAATAAACTGTCGCTATCGCTTTCCTCGTTGAAATTGACTACAACTGGCTCTATGATGGTGTCGATGTGGTGGTCAAGCTGCCACATTTTTGTTTCTTCCTTCACAACATGACGGAGAGCATTCTGCCAAGCTTCGGGCGTTACTAGCTGTATGGAAGTCTCAAGTAAAACCTTAACGTCTGGTAATTTGAAGGTTGTGTTATGGCGCGCAATATAACACTTCACTTGAGCTCAGATGAGCTCTATTGGGTTCAGTTCACAGTGGTAGGGCGGTAACCGCAGCACAGTGACACTACATTGACGGGCCATCTCATCAGTCACGTAACTAATGTTCACAGGTTTGTGTTTAATTTTTTCAAACAATTCCGCTTTCACACATGAATCGTCAAACGGGATTCCTTTTTCGCGCAACCATTGCTCCATGTCACTTTTCCGAGATCCCATAGTCGGTACACGTTCGGCTCGACGACTATGGTAGGAAGCATTATCCATGACGATCACAGAGTTGGGCTCAACTCGCTGAAGCACCCCTTGAAACCAGCTCTCGAAGCAGCTGGCATACATTTCGTCATGGTAATCACCTCCTTTCTTAGAGACGAAAATCAAGTCACACTCTTCTAAAAAGCCACTATCGCTACCAATATGAGTTATGATCAATCTTTGACCTTTCCCTGACGGTCCACGAAGACCTGTCGACAAACCTTCAATGCTTGCTTGTCGGTTACTCACTACGTTTTTGTCTATCCAGGTTTTTTTAACTGTGTGACCTGCATTTACCCATGTCTCGTCCAAATAATAGATATTTCTGCTTTGTCGCCTATATTCAATCATTTCGCGTAGGTATTTTCGACGCCAGGCGACTATTTCAGGTCTCTCTATCAATACTGACTTCCGATTACGAGTTTCGTAACCAAAATTAATTTCGTGCAGGGATTTCCTCATTACCTCGACGCTCATTTGGGGTATAATTTCATTTTCCTTGATCGCTGCATGTACAGCCTTGAGGGTTGGTATCTCATTCCTAAAGAAGAATGAATGTACGGTTCGCCTTAACGCCAGTTTGCTATCGTCATCCAATTTAACGGCCTTTCGTCCCTTCAAATTAAACTTTTGATCAGTAGTAGCTCCAGTTTTCTTCTTTTCATGCACCACCCTGCGAATGGTCCACTCTGGAACGCCTGTCATACTTTCACAACGCGCGAGTGCATCTCCCTGCGACATAGTTCTGTTCAGATAATTGAACACGTTGAGCACGATTTCTTACGCGTCCCTCTTCAGTGCTTTACGAAGCCGTCTACTTGTTCCCTGGCTTTCAGTACTTCCACTCGTGCAATTTGTACTCTCCATGGTTAAGTATAACCAAAACAGTAACCACAGAAACCACAACAATAACAATCACACAACAATTCTTATAAAAACACACAATACGCGATCGCTCAACGAAACACGTTCCAATGAATTGCCGACGCCTATGAGTCTGCCGGTCGAGGCGCGTCTTTGATTTCATTGGTTCTACCGGCGGAGAACAATCAGCCATTATTTCCATCTCTATCTGTGCTGTTGACCACCGCAAAGCCACAGAAACGACATATGTCGTACGCTATACGGCTGTACTGGAAGGAAGCCGGGATCGAGCTCTGATCACGTGTTGATCACGCGTATGAGTCATTACAGTTTTAAATAGTTGTAGTATAGGATCATTGTGACAGTCCATCTATGCAGGATTGCTCAATTACACGCATTGTTGGTTGCATATGTTTTGTGAAGCCGAGTAGTCTGTAGTTTTCATCTCTGAGAAGAAAGTTGGTTGAATAGCAAGATCGCATCTGGATGGTTATGTATATTGGTATGCATGTGTATATCAGTGGTATTTGCTGTGTAAGAAAATCATTACTGAATATGCTGTCAATGAAGTATATCTATTAGCTGTGCACGACGGTTTATTTATTTATATGTTGTCCTTTCTAAAGACAGGTAATATTTAAAGATATAAATTTTTTTATGTTTTTTTTTTATGTTTTCAAAAGCTTTGAGAAGAATTACTGGAAATCGTCAGCACGCCCGCGTTGTGTGTAATGACTGTTAGCATGTATATGACTTGTAATTTGACAGTGTATAGTGAACATAATTATTTCTTATTTCTCTCATTTTTGAAATTCATCAAATTTGCATACGTAATTTCTAGAATGGATAAGAAAATGTGGATGCGCAACTAATTTCTAGCTTTGACTCAAATAAGTGTATTTCAGACAAGAATCCAATTATCATCAACATATATGTTATTATTAGCGCACAAATCCTCACTATGCTAGCTATAGTATACAACTTACAGCTTAGACCTCCAGCGTCTGTGAAGCAGATTTTACATCATGTCAGAGCCAAACATTGATGACTGAAGCCTCATGACGTTTAGACAACACGTAAAACTACAAAACGAGTTCACAACGTGTCCATCAGTTAGTGCTAAGTTGACACCTTGTTGAAAAACCTATATAATGTAACAAAAAACAATACAATGTAGAAAAAATCGACATAATGTCACTTTTCAAGATACTTCTCAAGTTATAAGCGCTTATAAGATTAGCGGACAGACCGACAGATAGACCGACGGAAATGAGTGACATAGTTGCTCGTGACGTACAGGTCATATAACATCCAAAAAATTATTTTCGAAAATTACAATACTTCCCCGCCAGTGGGCGTGTGGAAAAAATGGTCTCGCGGTATTCTGTTTGTGGTATTAAAAGATCCGAGAAAGAAATAGTATAGCGTAAAATAGTTTGGAACGAATGACCCTGTATACAAAATCTTGACGGCGGGCTTATCAAAATTTCTCTCATGTCTGGGCCCAAGGTCTGTAACCTACGACACTGCAGGGTTTCTGACATCGATAGTAGCCAAGCGCCAACACTGACTCATAAGATCGCGTAGGCTAAGCGCATACAAAGAAAAAACAAACGCAACAGCCAGATCCCCATTGTTATTGTTCCAGATTTAAGCATGTAGTAGCTTTTCGCAGATTACAAATTTATAAATAGACTTAATATTTATTAAGTGAGGTTTAACATCTCTTCCGCTAGACGATATAAACTAAACGGTCTGAAACTGCTAACCGAGAAAACGTGTAGTTTGTGTATGTTTTGTTTCAGGCTAAATGGTCTGTTTTAATGTGGCGAAAATTAAACAGTGCAAATGGCAATTTATAAACTATTAGTAATAAAATTAGACCTGAAATCGCAACTGTTTAGTAAATTTAGTGAATAATGCTTCAATAGTTCTGACGACTGAATCATATCAATGAAATATACTACGTGACATAGGAAAAAGGACACCCAGTTATAATTATTATATTAAAACAATTTTTTGTTTACGCGTCTCTCATGGTTAGGTGAGCAATTGATAAAAAATCCTGAAAAATCCGACCGTTGAACAAAATGAAGAATGAAGAAATAATGAAGTTATTACAACAATTCTTGCTTTCTACGCCACTGGGCGAGGAAGTATTGTAATCGTGAAATTTTTTTAAAATGAGATATTCTGCTTTTTGGATGTTATATTACCCTGTCATTCATTTCCGTCAATCTATCTGCCGGTCTGGCTTATAACTGCCTATAACTTCAGAAGTACCGCTCAGCAGGGGAATTACGTAACTTGAAAAGAGACATTATGTCGTTTTTTTTTGACATTATGTAGTTTTTTAATGCATGTAGGTTTTCCTACAAGACTTCTACTTGGAACTAGGTGTCGTTCACTTCATGCTCACTTGTAAGAAGCTCGGAATGAACTATACAGGGCGTTTCACAACTTATTCGAGAAATTTTAACCACATATGCACTGTTACGAAAGAAGTTGATTTCTCAAAAAAAAAGTAATAAAAGTCCTACAGAAATCAAGATAATATAATAATACAGTTTAATAGTTCACTTACTGATAAAAACTGTTCAAAATTGTTTCCATTGACTACAAGGGGCGCGTCTAATCCAATTTCGGCGCACTAATTCAAAAACACCTCCTTCCTGTTGTGCCTGAAGGCTCAAATTATCGGCAGCCACTGTGATTCTATCACGCAATTCTTCAATATTCTGAACTGGAGTACGGTATATCTCGTTTTCCAAGTATCCCCATAAAAAGAAGTCCCGACGACTTAGATCGGGAGACCGTGGAGGCCATGCAATTGGTCCACCTCTTCCGATTCAGCGTATCTGGTATACCTGATTCCAAAAACGAGAAGCCGCTCGCGAAGTTTGCCCTGCTTCTCCGTTCGCTAAAACAATGTCCACTTACTCCTAATTAGTGTACACATGTGCCATTTTTATTAATAAATAACTAAAAATGTAAACTTGCAAAATACTTTCTTATTTAACTTCACAAAAATCGACCGTTTTTCATTCAGATCACCCACGATATAGATTAAACCTTATTTACACGTTCTTATCAGTATGAAAAAACTAAAAATTCCTGGTATTTTGTTTTTTTTCAGTTGTTTGTTACAACATTTGCTACAACAGATTATTAATGCGTGTTCTAATATCACGACGGTGGACGAAACATACAGGTACTTATTTTTCAATTGATTATTGAAACACAGGTTTATAACTTAATTTCTGTAGGACTTTTATTACATTTTTTTTTTGAAAAATCAACTTCTTTCGTTACAGTGCATATGTGGTTAAAATTTGTCGGATCAGTTGTGTATATTTGCATACCTAGTCAACAAGTCGACATTTTATCGTTTTTTCTTTTTTTTGACATTATATAGATTTTTTCGTAATAACCCTGCAAATTTTGTTTCCACACAAGATTACTGCTATGCCAAGAATCAAGAAGCTTTGTTTTTATTTTTGAAAATCGGTCTAGTGCTGGCGGAGCTAGGGGCAAATAAACGAAAAAAAATAAAAATCTCTTAAGCTTCGTTCTTTGGTGTTTCAGAGACACCTGATCGTTTTCGGAATTTTTTTTTTTAGGGTTTGGGGGTTGTCGGGTATAGAAGGATGTAAATTCAGAAGCTTCTGGGGAACAACGAGAAAATTAAATGATAAAACTCCAATGTATAATATGCAAATAACTTTGCAATCGTTGGTGTTGCGTGCTTGCAGACCATGCAATGGGTAATAGACTTCAACTGGAAATGCGGTGGTGTCGTCATTGACACACCGCTACAGGAGAAATACATATTTTAGCAATATTTGAATATAGGAGTACGTACCACTTTAGCGTTCTGCGATGCTTTTGTAAATGGTGACTTAACTGTTTTTATATCTCCACACTTTTCTGAATTTTATTATCCTTAAATGTACCACCCATTTCGCCAAACCTTCAATTTATGTTATTCCCTCTATGATGGTTCTCTGAATATTTTGTCAGGTAGATTGACTCAGTGCTTATGAAGCATAAACAATAGACACGGACTGACAAACCGACCTGAATATGAAACACGGACTTGTGGGTTGCAGATATTTTTAAGCAACAAAAAACTTGTAAACCGAAGATCGAATATTATCACGAGTTTAATACTTCGTTTAGGTAGTCTTGGTTTTTGAATATTGATTCAGAGGAGGCGGAAATAAAATCGCTGGAACATAGTGTTACAACGTTTCGGATATTACTGCTCACTATCAATCATTGTTTGGAGGGGATGAAAATGTAGGTTGGAAGCTTAATGCGGTACATGGCTGTAAGTTATTGCACACTTGGTGTCAGTGAAATACCTTCTATTATTAAGAAACTGCTGATCACACTCATTTTTCCTACATCTGCCATCGAAACAGAAAGATTATAGATTTTCTTTGTGTAGTTTGATATGCAGAGGTCCAAGATTTATCGTACCTAAGTGAACATATTTAATAACTATTCGATTTCGCCTTTTGAAACGAATTTACTCATTCCTCTTCTTTGAAACCTCGCGTAGGAAGTGTAGAGTCAATTTACTTGACGTCACTATTTGCTGTTTTAACTAAGATTAAAAATAGTATACGTACTTTGTTTTTAGCTACTTTATCTTCAGGCGACGATTTAGAGTGTGATGTCCACAAGCCTGGCTTTGTACCAAGGAGATGCTATGACTGCCTGAAACAAGGAACATTATTCAATTTTCAAAACAGAAACTGATATTGAGTTGTACAAAGACTCAGAGTGACTAGTTATTTCTCTATTACTCCATCTCCACTAGGTTTGTTCTCAAAAAGGATAAAGGCTGTTCCTCAGACGTGCAAAGTGCTATCATCCGCAAAGCAACGAATCGGACGTATTGTACTAGAGGCCTTAGTAAAGTTAAAAAGATGTTGGAGCTAAGACTGATTCCTCTGTGAAAGGCATTAATCTCTGCTCAGAAGGTCTCCATGTCACTGCTGGTCGAACAACAATATCAAGAAAAAAACACTTCGTCGACTATTCGCATGAAAAATATGACCTCAAAAGACATGATGAAAGATATGAATGATAATAATAATTATAATAATAGTAATCTTTGTTGCCTAGCAGTCACCCAATTACAGAACAATCATAACCATAATAGTAAAACCAAATTATTATTAATAATTAAATGAAAAAAAAACAATCTTTGACGTTTGACGTTATGTCAAGCATAAATATCTAGAAATAGTAATCAAGAAAAAAATATAAAGTAGACATAAACATATAATAAAATTCAATTGCATTCGCACAAGTCATTTATAAATAATGTAAAAAGCAGTGGGTCAAGATTTGATCCCTGCGGTACCCCGATGTGAAAGTATATGCGTAAGAGTTAACCATTGTATGAAACAAACTGCTTTCTGTTAAATAGATAGATAAGTTTATTCCATAACGGTTGCACACAGTATTATCATTTTCAGTACAACCTTCTGAACTAGGTGGATCGAAAACTCTACTAAAAAAAGTAGAAAAACCATTTACAATATCTTTTGGAGAAGTGTACGAGTCCTCAGTAAATAACATTTTAGTAGGTAGCCGCGGACTGTGATTTTTTACATTAAAATAATTCCAAAAATGTTGTGGGTCATCACAGATTGAGTCCCGTTTCTTAAAAACAGATCTCAATTCTAAAAACTTTTCATTATAATATTGGAAGCCTGTATTCCTAAATTTTGTAAGGTATTTGACTTCATCCTGGACATTGTGTACAATATCAGAAATATACCAAGGGGGTACCTTCGTTTACTCGATTAGCAAAGTGGAACATATGTACCAAGTAACTCATAAACTTTGCTATAAAATGCTTGTACTGCTGAATTTATTTCATCAAACGGACATAAAGGTGATCAATTTACATTGAATAGCGCTTGACACAACTCAGGAAACGTTGGCATTTTTAAAATTATAGTATTTCATATCTATGTTAGGACTGATACTATTACTTTTATAATTTGCAAAATGTACAACAAAAATCATCAATGCAGGATGGGAAGCCAAATCTTCCTCCGCTAAGGGTGCATGATCTCGAAAAACTTTACAGCTAAAATTGCTAAACACAATATTATTTATATGTATTATAAGGTATCCTGAAAGTTGGAATTTTCCTTTTCAGAAGCAACTAAGTAATAAAGATGCTTGTAATTGCTGCTTGAAGTTCTCGCAGTTCGATTCAAACAGACGAGTTTGTTCATTTCTTCCTAAATTTGCAACATTTGGGGCTGTCAAGGTTGGGGAGCTTAGACCCGCGCTGTTTTTTCGGAACCTTTTGGAAAAATTTGGAGGAAGCTCAAAAATTTCTTTTTTCATTTTAACCTTGATTGTGCCTAAAAACGTGACCCTTTAGTTTTTTTAAAAATGTGACCGTTTGTAAGATAAAACGGTTCGTTACATCGAAATGAAACTTCGCATGGTTTTTGAGAGTATATCTGTAAAAGGCACACTCAACATTAGCCATTTCAAGAAGGTTTGAAATTTAGCCGTTGATATTCTGAAAAACCACACATTGACTTTTATCTTGTCTTTTTCAAATGTATGACAAGAATAAAAAGATATTTTTTCACAATCACAACATACTCTTCTAGGTCACTTATTCCGGTTTTCAGAACTGTCTTTATATTCCCTGTGCAACCATTGGTTGTTGAGATCAAAGACCAAAAGTCCCTTTTTGATTTAGAGTTTGACATCTCAGCGAAAAAAGGTCGTGCCGAGGTCTTAAAAAAGTAAATCGAACCTAAATAAACAAGCCATGGTATATCTGGGCCAACATATTTTTTAACTCCGTTGAAAAAAAGAAAAAGTCCAAAAAAAATTCTCACGCTATTTCTCAAAATTGGGTAAAACATGTAGCTTTGAAAACTTTTTTCCTAAAAGACATTAAAACCAGAAGTCGTAGCTTCGAGATGCTTTTTTAAAACCTCGATACGACCATTTTTCACTGACATTCTGAAGAGTCACTAAAAATTCTGAAAATTTTGTTGACCCTTAATTATGGCCGGACCTACATATATGCTTTACAAAGGAAAGTGTCAAGTTTGAGGACAGCCTGTATTATACAAAAAAGCTTCACTATATTCCTATAGCTATAACATTATGTCTCCATTCCATCGCATGTATATTATAATCCATTTTCACTTTCTTCATTTTTTCAACACTTGCTCGCGTTAATCTTCTTGATAACAGTAATTACTCTAACAGGCAATTAAATTACAGAACGATGCATAGAATCACGTCAAAAATCATGTTTCAGTTTTTTAATGATAACAATTCAAAAGTGCACAATGAACGCCTGCTTGCCACGCGATATTAGAAAAATGCAGGGGAAAATTTCTTCCATATATAAATGGCGTAGTATTGGCGGAGAAGGGCATTACTCAGCGTGTTGGTGGTACGTTTTAGACGTGGATCAACATGGGAGACCGGGTAAGCAAAACTCAAAATAGTTATTTCGCAGCAACGATTTTCCTTTTCTCGTATTAGGGGAAACCCGCGCAAAGCAAATTTTCCCGTTTTACCATGACTGCTATCACAGAAAAGTACATATGTATACTTGTCCAACGTTCTTCAATAATCGGCAATCAGTTGTAATAGAATCCACTTTCTTCGATAGAATCATACCTCTAAAATCATAAGCAAAATGTGAAACTGTTAGCACGTAATGGGACATCTATTTTTAATGAGCCTAATGTCTCAGGGCAGTATATTAGGGCCCACGTTGTTTGTAATTTTTTAAATAATATTGCCACCTGTATCAAACCTTAAGTATTTTAAATCACGAAGTATGCAGATAACGCAAATATGCTCATTCATAACTGCTACGGATAGTAAGAATGCATGTGATTAGGGGGGTACAATGTGGACTAATTCTTAATAAAAGTAAGACTTGTGGTATGTTTTTTCGAATTTCAAAGCAAATTTTCGAAATTCAATTTGTCTTAATCGTGTAACAAATACTGTGTCTGGCAATACTACATTTCTTGTTCTTGAATTAGATAGTTACGTCATTTGGGACAACCATATCAGCTATTCAAGCTCAATAAAGTATGTTATTCTATAAGAGTCATTGCTAAATATTTGGATAGAAAAAATTTTTTAAGTTGTGTATCACTCAAGGTTTGAATCTAGATTACTATATGGAATTATTTAATCCGGAAACTTTAGTGTCTGTGATAAAAATTTTGTAATACAAAAGAGAGCTTTGAAATATATTTTGGATTTGAAGTTAGCCATCTAGAAACAAATTCAAGCAATTCGGTATTTTAATAGTTTTTGAGTGTTTATTGAAGGGTAACCATACTAGAGTTTTTAATAACATTTGTAACTCTTTTTAACCATTAACCAGCAGTTGTGAAAAAGTTTGTACAACTAACTGCATTTAAAAAACATACAAAATATTACTGAATCGAGAACCATACAAAATCGATGACTTTTCCAAGACAGATTTTAATAATATGCTGTAGAGCAAGATGTTATTGTTACTTTTGTTTGGTTGACGCTAATTGTATGACAAGTGGTTTACAGATTTCGTATTTGCAAGTCAGGATTACTGTTAAAGTTGCTGTTATTGTTATTATTATTATCTAGCCACCAAGTATAAAAATGTGTTTTACTTCCTATGCCAATGGGCAAGGAAGTATTGTAATCACGAAAAATTCCTAAAATGAGATATTGTGGTTTTTGATCTTAGTATATTTATATGCGCTCCCAAACTGGGTAATTTTATGCACCTATCAGCCATATTTCACACATCATAGATTTATCTGTACATTTGCCTTTAAATCTTAGAATGATTGAAAAATGTTTTTGATCCGCGTAATCGTGCCTATCAAAGCGAACCGCCTGGTGAACCAGTCCGGCTTATATATCCGTACTGAAGCACAAAAAGCATACGGACCTTGCACGAACCGAAAAATAACTCGCTGCAAAGATACCGCATAGGTGCGAAAAGGGACAACGTTGCCACATAGTCGGACAGGAAAAAATATCAATGGTCTATATGTAGGGGCCTGTTTGACTGACTTAAAACGTTTAATTGCTCTGTTGTACATATCCGTAACTCAACATTTTCTCAGAGGACTTAAATTGCGCTAAACTTAATCCTTTATGAACTGATGACGGCGTTGCGTAGGAATTGTAGAATCAAGCCACTTGACGATGTTTTTTTTTGTTTCAGATTCAGGCGGGTGTGGTTCTGGTTCTCATCTTTTTTTCATTAACCAATGCAGCAACCATTATTGAAAAGGTCCAAGTGGACTCAACTCCACAAAGACTTGTCAGGGAAGCTGAACTCACAAGGTCACACAGCGCTACTCCGGATATAATACAAGCTTCTTCTTCAAACCAAGTTTATCAATACAGTATCAACGATGCTCCAGAACACTACTCTCAACCAGAAGGTCAATTCACCTCTTTAGAATCAATTGCAGAGCTAACCCCTAAAGATTTTGATACAGCTGGATACGACTTGTATAAGGCGGGTACAAGCATCAATCTTGAAGGTCCAATGCAGTTGGAGACCATCCACACACAGAGCTATCACAAAGAAGTCGAGCCGTACGACACCAGCGAGTATAAGCATCGATCTCACGTTGAAGAGGAACACGCTGAAGTGCATTATCACCAGCATAAGCATCTTCACAAGCATAATCACCATCAAGACCATGTTCACAAGCATGAGCAACATCACGCTCATCAACACGAGCATGGACACCATCACCAACAGCAGCACCATCACAGTCATCACTCAAGTCACAAACATCAACATCATTCGGAGCACAAGCACAGTCACAAGGAAGATCACAACCATCATCACGAGCAGAAGCACAAACATTCGCACCATTCGCAACACAACCACGGTCACAAACATGAGGAGAATCACCATCATGAAGGGCACCACAGTCATAAGCATAAGCATCACAATAATCATAAGCATAGCCACCATAATAGTCATAAACATGATCACGATCATTCGCACAAACATTGGAATGATCACAAACATAAACATCACCATTTGGCGGATCACAAGCATCATCACGATCATCAAGTGGAGCATAAGAAGGTGGTTTATCATCATAAGCATTAGTTGTTTCGTTAATTTTTGTTTAAATAAAATGTTCTCTAAGGTGTGCCTTGAACTCATTAAACTATTGTTAGCTACGAGTTACTTCCCACTTCAGTTGGTAGAACTATTGAAATCTTAGTTTTTTTCTTATCAAACACAAATAATAAAAATATAGCAGGGTGCTATAGGTCTAAAATATTAACAATGAATATTTTGATAATATATAGTAGAAAACACCAACTTTATCACTCCCTAATCAAATTTTTCAAAATGGGTAGAGGAAAGGTTATTAGTCAAAAAATTCGGTTACTGATAATTAAATTTTTTAATTCTGGGAAATCAAACTCAGAAATTGCAACCTTGTTAGACTTATCGCGGTACAGTGTGAGAAATATTGTTAGAAGATATATAACGTAACTGGTTCAGTTAATATTAAGCCACGATATGTGTGAAAAAGTAATATCACAAATGCCGACCGAAGAGCATTTAAGAAGAATAATCGTGAAAAACAGGCGTGCCAATTATTTACAATTAAGTGCACTGTGGAGTGACGCTGTTGGAAGGAGAATTTCGAGGACCACAACTCATAGAGAGGCCCACAAACTGGAATTTAGCACTTGCAAGGTAAGTTTTCTTATAAAAAAAAGTGAAGTAAGAACCCTAAAGTTGCACAACTTGTTTATAGGCCAAAGAAAAGCCACTATTAGGTCCACTGCAAAAAATCGGCTTAGATGGGCTGAAGAACATAGACAATGGATACCTCAACAATGGAGTGATAAGGCCCGATTCGAAGTTTGTGTTGGTGACAGTCGCAGTAGAGTTATTCGCAAAAAATATGAAGCATTCCATGTTGACTGTCTGAAGAGAAAAGTGAAATTTCCAGCATCCATTATGGTCTGGGGCAGTATGTCATCAAAAGGAGTAGGAAAACTTCATTTTATTGATGGAAATGCGGATACAAACAAATATGGCAATTGGCAATTTTAGAAGAATCGCTTTTACCAGTGATGGAAGAATGTTTGACATCCGACCAAGATTTTGTATTTCAGCAAGATAATGCAGCGTGCCATACCTCAAAGGCAATCAAATGGATGGTAGAAAATAATGTACCACTTTTAAAATGGGTTTCTAGCAGTCCAAATCTGTCACCTATTGAAACTTTGTGGCACGAGATGAAAAAGGTTCTACTACAACATCCTGCTCGTACAATTACCGAACTGAGACAAAAGCTTCAAGAAATATGGGATTGTTTTACACCAAATTTTTGCCAAAACTTGGTTAACACTATACCCCAAAGAATTTCAGCTGTAATAAAAAATAAAGGTGATGTTACCCAATGGTAATCTTTCAATTGTTGCTTTGTTAACTTCGCGGATTTATTCGCACATTGTTCATTTGTTCAGATGTTCTATCAGTTATAGGTCTAAGTGATTTCAGATATGTATTTTTTCGACTAGAGTGTATCTAAAATTTTTTTGAGAAAATAAATTGTTTTAGAAGTAAATTGTTTTAGAAGTAAATAGTTTCGTCATGTTTAGCATATTTTGGTACAAATCTTGAGAAGTGGGCCAACTGAAGTGGGAAGGGGCTCGTAGATCATATTATATTCCGGGTATTTCAAACAGACTCTCACCATTAGGAAACATGAAAGCTTCTGGAGAAACAAAAAATCGAATTTTCTACAAATCGTTTTTATTTAATCATAAATTTAATAGAGGTTCACTTTCGTCGGTCTGTCTGTTGGTCTGTTTGACGATCTGTCTGTCCGTCAATCATAACGTCGTCCGTACCGCAAACAGGCGTAACTGATTTTATATAAATTTTCAGTAGAAGCGAAATGAATATCGACAGTTATTTGATTTCGTATATCTTTACTACTTTAGACAATATGAGCATAATTTCTTCCAATAACATAGCTAAACAGTGTGTTCATCATCTTCTGAGAAGTATACAGAGGAAAGGAAATTCATATTCTCAGCTAAACATTTTTTTATATTTTTTTTTCCAGATACGCCTCTTTGCGGTAACCTTGACAATTACAATAGTCTAGCGGTTTGAAGATACGCCTTTCACTCCATATGGAATAAAATTAGATTAAATAAAAAAACACCTTATTCTCAGATGTAAGTAATACTCAAGCAACTCAAGGATAATACAGAACAAAAATAAGAAGATGATTTCATACAAAAACATTTATGGCTGGTCCTCATGAGGTAGTGAATCATAAAAACGTTGATGTTCTGGTAGAGTGATGGCAGGCCTATCGCCTTGGCAAAGTGAGGTCAAATCATTATATTTTTTATTTGTGATTTTTCATAGGTCGCTATTCAGAGGAGACAGCTCTTTTTTTTAAAATATCGGAAACATTTCTTTTCAAGGTTATGGACCTGTAGTTTGTTTGCTTATGGCTAGTCTTGAAATAGATTTTGTTGCAATTATCACTTGTCACATTGAATTCCATCATATTTTTCCAATTCACATCCATGTCTTTATCATCTTTTCGAATAGATAATACTCTTAAGTCTGAGGCGAGTTTTTTGGGGTCAAAAAAATTACGATAGTCTAAGGGACGAACCTTATATGGCTGTTTCTTCCTTGCTAATGCATAGACTGGCAATAACTGGCTCGGCACAATAATTTCACCTGCATTTTTCAAAGCATAACTATTGCACTATGTGCTGAATCGCCTTCATTTTGTCCATGACAAGAGGCAAACATTTTTAACGATATCTCTTTAACGTTTGAGCAATTACTGACAAGATATAAAAGAGTGGTAGCCATTATCGAATTCTTATTTTGGCCACTACAACCATCAGCAAATAAGTCAACAGTATTGTAGCCTTGTTTGTGTTTTTCGGAAATAAATAAATAAACAGCAGTCGATATTTCCGAGCTACCACGTTTACTTTCCGTCTCACTCCATGTATAACAAAAACATTCTCGAGATGCTACTTCATAGATAGTTAGATTGTAGACAGCAAGCCGTGTTTTATAAAATACGGAACAATGATTAGAAATTTTTAAGTATATAACTTGTTGGAGATCAAACGTAGCACCTTTGTATCATTTTTAGCTTTTTCTTTGCAGCTATTCTTTATTTCTCTTACCGTTTCCTTTTCTAAAATATGGGCCAAGTACTCCTTTTCCAAATTAGCCTTTACTTCTTCCGATCCTTCTCTGTAACACTTGCAAAGACCACATTGATCTTTTTTTGGTTTGTGAAATGAGAAGTTCATGGATCTGAAAATTTTTCTATACAAAGAAACACTTCCCTTTGTTTGTTGATCTTCCAGTTTGTACATGTGATACATTGTACTCAGAGATAAATCTTCATGTAGGTATTGTTTAGTTGAGGACTTCCGGCAGTAATGTGACTCTACTCTGGGGAACCTATTTATGTGCTCTATAATACTTTTTCTAATGATGATTGTAACTCCCGTCGACCTCCACGATTTTCTTTTTCTAGCACACTCGTTATTCTATTCAATTTCTTTATTGCGGTTCTGCAAACTTTCTCACTTATCCCAAGGGTCCCAAGGAACATTTTTTAACAAACTAATTGTCGGATACCTTCTAGAGGTAAGAAAAAATAATGTGTTTGCTAACGGCGTGGAGCATTGCTATTTGTAGTTCTATGTTTTGGGTTTTCAGATAATACAAAAGCGCTTTCTCCTTCACAATTTTCTTAGTTACAGGCGAAATATATGTTTCGCCTTGATTCCTCAACGTTTTTGCAATTCTTCTTTTATCTTCTTTGACTTTTTTTTCCTATCACCTTCTGCCTGGGAACCTTCTACAAAAAAATCTTCAGGGCGCCTCTCTTCCTGTTTCTCTTTGCTAAGTACACTGCTTGCTCTGTACTGTCCTGTGTCCGTCCTGGCAGGATAGGGTATCATCTTCAAAATGCTTCCAACATAACAAAATTGAGCATTGAAAGCAGGAACTGAACACATCTCCTTTACAGCTTTTAACTTCACAAGTTTGATGATAGTCCGGATCTTCCGGATTATAAATCTCGGCTGCAGCAAAGGGATCGCTTTCAGATGAGGTGTGACTCAATTCGGACAAAATGTATTCTGTAAGTCAAAAGGACATATCTTAGTTACCACTGAGAGAGTAGCAAAAAATGGACACCGCATGTAGGCGTATCTTCATTTACGCCTATTTGCGGTGTATTGTATTTCATTTCTGAGAGATACGACGTTTAGTTTTATGCTGATATCTCTATGAGCGAACTACTTAGCGTTACGCCACTTTGCGGGATTGAAGATATGCTATACCTTGTTGATTTGAATCCGTTAACTCGAATTTGATTTTTTGTCAGATACGCCTGTCTGCGGTATGGACGACGATAAGTACCGTTCGGATGTTGGTGAAATTTTCACACAAGATTATTGCCATGTCAAGGACGAAAAAGCTTTTTAGTTTCTGAAAATCGGTCCAGTAGGGGAAGAGAAATGCGAAAAAATAAAAATTGCTCGATCTTCGTTTTTGACGTTTCGGACGATTGTGATCATTTTTTTAAAATTACGGAAGGATAAGAAATTGGAGGGTGGAGGGTTGTAACCTATAATCTAAACTTCTAAGACTTCTAAGAATTTTTCTTATGGAGCTGGATAGAGCTTTTAATTATGTCATGCATTGATATTGCAATGCTTCAGCTATATCAAAAAACTGATATTTTCATAGTTGGCTTTGATAACGGCAGAATGTCACTTGTTTATTAGATTACATCGCCAATTAAAGATTGCTTCAGTTGTTGAGAATGCGGTTATAAAACATCCATACTGTGTTGCATTACATTGTAATGGAATTCGATTTGCATTTTACTACATATTTTTACTGTTTGCACTAACAATATTAGTAAGTGAATGTTGAGAGTGAAAAATTATCTTTTACAAAGTTGCTCCTGATTTTCCCTCATTTTAGCTCCAAGGTCTTTTATTTCCGATAATAATAGAACAATAATACATTCGTCTGGAATACGAATTTTATATTTTTTCCGTCCTCGTGTTGGCACTGACTGGACAGTGACTGATGTATTCTTCAAGCGAGATTGT